TTTTTTTACAGGAACACTTGAATCAAGATATGAAATCATAGAATGGACTGCTGAAAGATGTCTCCAATGGCCAATAGACAGAGTGAGCCCAGTGAGGAAGCCAGGCATGCTAGAACTAGATAAACAAACTGCCATGGAAGCCCAGCTAGCATCACTCATGAATGAAATGAAGAACCTAAAAGCCGACCAAGAAGCACCAAGGGTGGAAGTCTTACAACTCACAGCAACTGAAACAGAACCATGCTCAGCCTGTGGTGACCTTCATGACTCAACAGACTGCCCATCCACTGCATTGGTGTGTTATGCAGAAAATTTTGGCAATAGGAACTTCACCAGAGACAATCAACAAGCAGGACGAAATACACATTCAAGCCCTAGAGGAACTATCATTAAGGATCAGAACCACAACACCCAATGGAGGCCACCCATTAACCAGAGACCATTCAACAACAATCAACAGCAGTATCAGCAAGGTAGCAGCAGTGGAACGTCTGAACAAAGAAGAAACAACTACGTTTCGTTCCACAGAGATGACCAACGCATCAACACCCTGGAAAATTATGTCAAGGAATATGTCACCAGGAATGATGCAGTGGTCAAGAATATTGAGTCCCATCTGGGGCAGATTGCTGCCAACCTTCAAACCAGAACACCAGGATCACTACCAGGGGACACTGAGGTCCCCTCAACCGTTTCTGAAACACCTTAAGAGGTAAGTACCATGTCTAGCTAAAGACATTAAGCTAAGCGCTGACTGGGAGGCAACCCAGTAGATACATTTGCTCTCTGACAAAGAGCAAAGTTTTGGGGTGGTTATCCATAACCACACAGCTCCCAAAAAGGAGGGAACGTCTGATGTTCCTCTCCAAAAAGTCCAAATAAAGTACGTTACGTTCCAGGAACGTAGTTTTGGGGTGGTCCCTGACCACACAATACCAATATATATATATATATATATATATATATATATATATATATATACATATAGATATAATTAAATGTTTTGTTACATGTTCATTTAGATTTATTAAATAATAGGTGATAGGTTAGTACGTTCCCTTTTCCTTATTTAGTACTCACTATTGCATATCTTATTATTTATTTCAGTTAGTTATCTATTTATTAGTTAGGAAAAGACAAAGGGAACGTTCCCTGGGTTAGGAGATAAGAGTGACTGGGACACCTGTCCCTGCTGAGTCACTTAAAAAGATACGCAGCCATATTCTTGGAAATGCGCGTAGAAAAAGCAACTGTCTCCTCAACCATTAAGACAACTGCACCCTTTCCTTTTCCCTCTCTCCCACGTCTTGACCTAAACCGTTCCATCTTCTCACACTCATCCCATCAGTAACTGGTCACCTACTGCTGACCACTCGTTCTGTAACGTCCTCATTCCACTACTTCTTCAACCTCCTCTCCTTAACCTCCACGTCCCAGAAACCTTTCATTTTCTTCCCCACAGTCTATTTAAACTCGGTCTCTGATTTCTTCAAGTTCTACTACTTCCATTCAACTCAGAACCCTTTTATTCCTCCTGCATTTGTGCCCTAACTCCTTTTCTGAACAAAATGAATAAGCTCTCATTTAAAGTGATCCTTGTAGCCAACCGCGGCGAAGAACCAGAGCTCACTGAACCCACCATCATTATGTACCCAGAAAGGAACATTTCTCTGCATCAGGACAAAGTGTTTCTGCCTTCATTTGTGAAGAAATCACTGGACAAACTTCAGTGGTTGCTTTTCGCCACTGATGACCGTGAGTTAAACTTGAATTGGGTGGGGGAATTCCTATACTAGACAAGGAGGTTGTCCGAAGAGGAGGCACCTGATGTGGTCACAGTGAGGGGAAACAAGTATCATTTTCCCCCGCTGATGTCTAGGAAGTACTCCACCTTCCCTCCGTCACCAACTGTCCATACCAGGAGTATTTGGATAGTAGGGAGGTGTACCAATTTCAGAAGGATCTGAAGCAGACAGTAGCGCTGGACAATCCCAACTACTACAAAGGGTCCCTCTGCAAGGGGAGCATGGAGGACATAGCCATGTTCTGGGCACTGTTTGCCAACTCCATCATCACCCCCACCTCTCATGAAGCCTCTGCTAGCTGGGGACTTCAATTTCAAATTTACTGCATCATCAAGCACATCCGTTTTGATGCAGTAACCCTCATCTACAACAGCTTGTAGAGGGACATAAGGAAGACTACGGTCTTCCTTCCCTACCTCATCACCAAACTCTGCAGGAGAGCTGAAGTAGAGGAACACCCAGATGACACCACGAAGGTGGCATCTATCATGGATGCTAAGACCTGGAACGGTCTTAAAAACACCTACATTGACACCACCCAACCTATTGCTGCTAATCTCAGACGTTCCCCCACCAGAGATAGTGAGGAGGAAACATCTGTGGCCTCACTAAAGGAGACCACCAAGATCACCCCTACAAAATCCTCTTCCTCTGGCCACGTTTCGGCCATAAGAACCATCCCTCCTCCTACCAAGGTGAAGAAGGATGCCCCTGTTGCTACTGATGGCAAGCAGGGCAAGAAGAAATCTCCTACCAAACCTCCTCCAAGAAAAGGGGAACGTTCAAGTCAGAGGATAAAGATGGTCCTCAATAGCAATAGGCCAGAGGGAGCATCCTCTGCAAATCCTATCACCCTCTCTGAACAGGAGAGTGAAGACAATGAGCCTTTGGCAAAAAGGCTGAAGATTGGACGGAGGTCAGCACCAAAACTAGCTGCAAAGGAGACGTCCCCAAGCAGCTCAGACTCTACATTTTCTGACATTCCATCCCCACCACATGCTCACTCTCCACTACAACAAATCACCCCACAACCTTCTCCTAGGCAACAACAAGGAGAGGGACAAAAAGACAAAGAAGCAGCACCTGCTGCAGAAACACCAGTGGTTGAGCAAGAAGCTCAACCACAAAAGAAAGATGACAAAGGAAAGGGGATTCTTGTGGAATCCCCTAAAAAGAAGGCGAAGCCATCCGTCCCCAGGCAAATTAGTCTGGGAGGCCCTCTTTTGTACCCCATCAATCATCCTGACACCACTGGGGATGAAGCTCTAGCTAGAGCTCTGGTAGAGGAAGAAGGGATGGCAGTTCCTCCACTAATGGAGAAACATATTGAAGCAATACCCTCATCATTCAGACCCCCAGAGGATGAGCACCAGGCAAGCACCTGAAGCACCTTTGACTGCTGGCAGCAGCCAACAGCAAAACCAGCAGCCGTCCTCCTCCCCTGCTACAACAATCCCTCTCCCAGCTAGAAAGAAATCACAAATTGGGATTGCTGAGATTTTTGAGATGATGGGAAAGAAAATAGAAAAGCTGTTGCCAGTAAGACAATCCATTCCCCAACCTGATATGACAAGCACCAATGCAGAGCTAAAGGCTCTAAGGGACGGACTGGCACAGCTCTCCTCTGCCTTCAACACCTTTCAGGAACAGCTGAAGGAGGAGAGAGAACAATAGCTCAGCACCATAAAAGTAGCCATCAAGGAAGCCAGTGCTTCATCCTATAAATCAATACTCCAAGCAGTCCAAGGAGAAATTGCTAAAGCAGCTAACTCCCTAATCCTTTCTAACTCTCTGCGCAACCACACAACAGAGATCTTACTCAACATGCTCGTCTCCAAACAAGCTGAAGAACGTAAGGAAACCAAAGAAGCCATCAGGGCCTTTGGAACGTACCTGGAGAGGAGGATTCGTGAGTTGGAAATGAGACTGCTGGATGTTGAAAAACAAGTCATCCATTTTCGCACTGGCAGAACCATGATGAGATCCACCATCAACTTCCTGGTCGCAATCATCAGCGATCTACTGAAGGATGCTGAGAAATGGCTCCCTGTAAATGAAGCCCGCAGATTGCAAGATCTGCTCAGAAGGAGACCATTGACACAAGAGGAGATTGATGAAGTCAAGGAAGCTGAAGCTGCAAAGAGGAACCCTTGGGACAGGAGACCTCCACAATGAAAAGGAGAAACCCTCCTATTTATCTTAACTTAGTTGTTTTCAGTTCGGTTTTAATTTGTTTTCTTTCCGTTCCCTTGTAATTAATCTTTTTGCAATGAAAAAAACTTTTTGATCAAACTGTTTGGTATATACATGCATTTCAGTTGTAGTATTAAGACTGCCCAATTCTTTTGGATTAACTAACATACATGAAACACAAAGTCACTAACTAATCATGCTTGTTCTTTCTCTGAGTACTTGAAAATAGAAACAGTGCAGGGAATTTAATCCTCAGATTTTTGAAAGAAGCTGATCTGTGTGAACTCAAACTGGTAAGGAAAGGAAAAATGCCAAACACCTACTTCTGAGAGCGTTCCTGAGGTGTAACCACAATGAAACTTCTTAGCTTGCCTTGATGTTGTAAGTACTGCTGAAGACAGATGAATTCTGCTGTCAAGGATCAAAACAGAATCACACACTCACCTCACCCCCATCATACACCATCTGGTCAATCAGAAAGAACAAGGAACGTACTCAACAATGAACCAAAAAGGGACATAAGAAAAACAAAGAAAAAGGGGAACAACCATTCAAAAGAATTCAAGAAAAACCAGAAAACCTTCCTCCAAAGGGGGAAAAAGGTTCAAGAAAAGGTGTTCCCTTAAAATAGAAAAAGTCCAAGATCAAAGGCACAAAAGCTAAACGTTCCTTGATCCCACAAATCAAGCCACCATTTCTTCCACAGTTTCATACACTTACCCATCAAAGAAATCCTTGGAACGGAAGACAACTGTACTTCATAGGAACGCAGCAGAAAGGTAAGTTCTGAAGAATAACTTCCAGGAATGGATAGAGCAAACACCAACCCATGAGTGACAGTGAGACAAAAGATCAGCAACTTTCTCTTATCTGGGGACAGAATACTCTTACTGTTTACTATGAAGAGTATTTTATTTTTTGAAAAGTTCATGGTTGCTCACTGGCTCAAGTTCCTTTCTGTTATGCTATTCTTTTAAATTGGGCAGACCAATACAATATTTCTGAGTTGTTTGAGGACAACCAACAGTTTAGTTTTGGGGTGTTTGATGGGACGTAAATTCGTTCCCATCTAAGCCCATTTTGATGGCAAAATACCATACGTTCCCTCATCTGATGAGCAACTTCAGCATGAAAATCACTTGTTTTACACATTTGTAACAAAAACACAGTGGGGGAACGGATGGTAACGTATTCCTTTAAAATATATTAAAAGGGGAACGGACTGAGACGCATTTAATGCACCTGCTCCATTCATTTAATGCTTCTGTACACTTTGCAGGTAACATAGAGTTAAAGACTTCTAAAAAGCAAGGTGGTGCACCAACTGAGCAGCTGGAAATGTGAAGAGCAGGGAATCAATAGTTCTCATTGGCTGAAAACAGAAGCAAAACATGGGAAGGCCTGCAAACTACGGCTAATCATCACCAAACCTTGTTGCATCCAGCAATTTGCGCAGCTTCCATACTCTGCTGCCACCGTCCCGTCCCCTCATTCAAGCAACTTGCTCCAAAGGATTTACAAGCTTGCCACTCTTCTTCCATCTATAAATAGGACCACCCTCATACAAAAACATCATCGAATCCTGGAGGGTTTGCAGTCCGAAAGGAAGAGATCACTTAGGAGTAGTTAGTAACTTAGTTTAATTTTCAGTTGTAATTGTAGTTAAGTGACAACCCATTTTCTCTTCTCTGTAACCAACCATCAAAACTCCTCACGAGCAAATACCTATCTTTCTCCATTTTCTGTTTATTTTTGTAAATTTTCTTTTAAATTAATATAAGTGTTTTTCTCTTCGTTCCAATCGTTATCTCTTGACTGAATCTCGGGTCTATGTGATCTCAGTTGAGAATAATTATGTTTAAACTATCAGCCATGAGCTGAACTATCTGTGGAACGGGTAAACTGTGAAACTCTTAAAGAACTGTTTTCAAAACTCCTGACCGAAGCTTTTTGTATTTCTTTGGCTAAGTAAGCTATATTCATTGTGCGCCAATGGAAATTGGGTACATACTGAGAAAGGAACTTCCATAAGGAAGAGATTTTAGAAAACTTAGCCATTGGGGGAAGGTAGATGTCATGGCAAAAACGCTACTGGTCACCTTAGGAATAAGGGGCCAACTCTTCCATTTTAAGGTTCTGAACTAAGTACTTGTTGGAGTCAAGGGAGCCATAGGAATATGGAAACTTGTGAGCCATCTAGACCAAGAGCTGAGGAATCAGAGTTGACAGGCAAAGAAACTGGGATAAAGCCAAAAGTTGCTAAGTCTTGAGCAGAGAAAACAACCCCTTTAAGAGTGAAGCAATGAATCTGTTCCTTCTGTTAAACTGTTTTAACCACCACCCTGTTGTCTCTTGATTATAGTTATTTCTGTTTTAGTAGTTTTATTTTATTTCATTCACTCTTTATAAACAGTGATAAAATAATAATTAGCACTCTATCCTCGTGGGAACGATAATTTGGGCATTAATACTCCCTTTATTACTTGATGCGTGCACTTGCACACTTGGGTTGGAACTAAGGGATGAATCTGTGTTCTGCAAGAACAGAGGAACATTCCCTATCAGAACTTATATTTTCCACCATCAGCAAACCACCCAACATAACTCGCCGGTTGTAGACGGAGTGTTACAGACTCGGTTGCTGACAACCTACTAAATGAAGAGGATAGGAGGAAAGAATAAGGAATAACCCACTAATATGAAGCAAATGTCGTTGAAAGCCATGTAAAAATGGAATATCGAGGTAAAAGTAAAAGCCAAGGTTGAGACAAGTCTTGAGGGAAGTCAAAGCTAAAGCCCAAGCCTAACCTCACATGCTTCTACTGTGCAAGGTCGAGTCACAGAAAATATGAATGTCAAACTCTCAGGAAAGATAAGAAGAAGGGAAATGTCAAGTCAGATATGATAGATCTAAGGAAGAAAGACAAGCAGAAAGCACCACAGTCTTAGTAGCCAAGGTCGAGATCGATATCTTTCTAATTGGTGAAGACAATTATCTAAATGTAGCTTATGATGAATGTTCATGGGTTGTAGACTCAAGAGCATCCTTCCATGCCATCCAAGATGGAGACTTTGGTATCTTGAAAATAAGTAACCAGGTTACTAGGAAGATGTTTGATATTGGAGAAGTCACAATGATGATTGACATGGACTATAGAATGATTTTAAAGGATGTCAGACATGTATTGTCATTCAACTCAATTATCTCAGTAGGTAAGCTTGATAAAGCTGGGTAAGTAAACTACTTTGGTGCAAGGAGATGGAAACTCGTCAAAGGAAGCTTGGTGGTAGCCCAAGAAAAGAAGGAATATTCTCTCTATGTTATGCAATGGAAGGTCAACAATGGAGAGACAAATGCTATCCAAGATGACGCAAGCTTGGAGCTTTAGCATAGAAGACTTGGCCATATTAGTAAGAATGGCCTACGAATTCTCATCAAGAAAGAGTTGCTGCCAAACTTGAAAGGTAAACCCTTGGAGTCGTGCATAATTACTAGGCCATCAATCAATTTCGGGTTTCATTCAAGAAATCAGACCAACCTAGAAGAAGGAGACTGTATTGACGTATGTTCATATTACTTTGTCACTTTTATTGATAATGGTATCTGTATTGAATGCAAAACATCATATACTCCAAGCATTCTAGGATTCCATGCAAGAGTTAAGAAGGGGACTGAAAAAAGTTAAAGGTCATCCAAGTTAAAAATGGTGAAGAATATTGAGATCCATTTGATATGTCCTGTTAGACGATATGAATAAAACTGAAGAAGACACCTCCAAAGACACCCAACTAAACAACATTGGTAAGAGAAATGATAGGACAATTAAAGAATGAGTTTGTAGCATGTTGTCTCATGCTAAACTTCCCAATGCATTCTGGGGAGAAGTCACCAAGATTGCAGCAGATTTAATCAAATTGTTACCCTCAAGTCCTTTGGAATGAGAGATTCCATAAGAAGTCTAGACGAGTAAAAATGAAGTGTATGAGCATATAAAGGTGTTTGGATGCAGATTTTTGTGTGCATATTCTCGAAGGAGAATGAGAAAAGTTGGATGCAAAGACCAAGAAGTGTATATATCTCGACTCACTAAAGGACTAATTTGGTTGCCGACTATAGGTTCTAGTCAATAGGAAGTTTATGACAATCAAAAGGGTACCAAAGGGAAGACGAGCTCTGAAGAACAAACGGATA